CCATCCATAGCAATACATGACCAAGACTTTCAGATTCTTAGTGTTTACTTGCGCGCAAAAAGCCTCTGCTACTGTGTGAGCCATGTCCATGCTGGGAGAAGGGAGCGATAATAGGGAACTGATCACTCCACTGTTGTCTACTTGCTCTCAGCCTGCTGGTTCACACCAGCAGTATCCCTAATGTTGGGAAACCCCATTTCTCAGCAGATCAATTCTCAGGAGAAGGCCAAGAAGGATGGCAAGAACAAACCCAAGGAGAAGCTGCCTGGTTGCAAGGAGAGGGAGGCATAGTGCAAGCAACGGCCGGAAAGCGGTTCTGTAAGACATCTTCATTTGCAGACCGTACCCTGCCTAGTTCTTCCCTTTGCTCTCTGAAGCCATACCCCTGTCCAGCTGAGGAAAGCTGCAACTGAAGAGTCGTCCTCAGAAAGCCCGGACCTCAGACGTACAAAGAAAGCTCCTACCCCGCGTGCATCTTCAAGAGTTCCTACGTCCTTGTCAACCTCAATGCTATCTTCCTCTCTCTCTCTCTCTCTCTTTAGTTTCTTGTCCTCTCCTCTTGTCCCTTGACCTCCAAAGAAAAGACAGAGGGAGGAGAGGCGGACGAGGAGAGATGCTCCCTGACAGGCTCCAAGTCATCCTCCGGGGATTTCCTCCTTGCCATGGCCAAGCGAGGCCCTTCTTGGATACTTTCTCCAACCTTTTCCTTACTGTGGGTTAGTAAATGATGAGGGAAGGTATAATATGGGGGTTACATGAGGATTATATTCCCTTCTTCCCTACCAAGCACCAGCCAATTTTCATGATTTCTTGGAAGGGGCTTACCGTGCTTCTCTAGAAGTATGCACGAGTCCGGGGTATTGCCGGTGTTGAACTCGAGGAGCTTTTGATTCTAACTTGCAGCCCACTGTCTTCTATAGTCTATACACTCCCGGAAACTAACATGGAAACCCAAAAAGGGCCCTATGAAGACTGCAATCCTTCTACAAGGGGACTATATGGGTTTCCATGTTAGTTTGGGGGAGTGTAGCTGGTATGGATGCTGAAGCATGAGCTGCTGGGTGCGTGAACTTAACACATTGCATGTTGGGCTTCTCTGAACCAGGTGACCGGGCTTTAGCCAGGATAGCGCAGGTTGAAGAGAAGCCCGCCTGAAAAGATCAAGATGCTTTTTGATATCATGAAAGTTTAATTGATAGCATATCAATAGATAAAAATCATATCATATCTTACTATGATTCCACGAAATATTATATTCAGAGATTCGCTCCAAATATTATTTATATAAATGACCGCAAAATTTAGTAATGGTTCAGATGGTAAGAACTTTTTGTGTATCATCATCTAATCGAATATTAAAAAGTAATGAATGTATTTGAATACAACTCTTTAGATTATTCGTAGTATTCATCTTTATTTACTCTATAAAATGTTGCGGTTTCCTTCTGTTCTGTTTGCGCACGTTTTGCTAGACCGGTCTTCCAAAATTTCCCAGATTTTTGGAAGAGCGTTCTCTATCAAATATGATAAGCTTATGAGGCGTCCGCCTCTTCGTAGAATGCCCGGACAATTTACGTTTTTCCAAAATATCCTTGATATTTTGGAAGATCGGTCTCGACTAAATTTGGAAAAGCGGTCCAGGACCGTTTTTCCAAAATATCCTGGAAATTTTGGAAGGCCGGTCCCGACAAAACATGAAGCCGCCGTCTCTTCTCTAGAAATAATCCGCTAGCCAACCGTGCATTGCTAGCTCGGCGTGAATAGTCAAATTTACGTGGCAGCGGCGGGGTTGCCGGCGAGGCCGGCACTCCGGTGGCTGTGGCGGTGGCGATCGGTAGTCGTGGCGGTGGCGATCAGTAGTGGTGGCGGTGGAGGTGGCGGTCGGGAGCGATGGCGGTAGGGCGTGCTGGGGGACGGGCGGTCGCGGTAGGTGGCGGTGGCACAGTGAGGCTGGGGAGTCGCGGGACGATATATTCAGAGACGGCCAGCAGATCTTCAATACGGATTACCGGTTCAAAATCGCAAAGAATATTTTGTTTCACCGTGCCGGCATGTAGGTGCCGGGGTTGTAGTGGTGGCGGTGGAGGTGGATAAGTGGCGGTCGGGAGCGGTGGCGGGAGGTGGGGTGGGTTGCGGTCAGTCGTGGTAGGGAACAATCGAGAAAGGTGGTGGTGGGCGGGCGGTCCCGTCTGCGATAGGCGGTGGCGGAGCCGGGACGATATCTTAAGAGAATGATTGATAGATATTCGATAAATTTTGGGCTTCCGTTTATATCTATTTAATTCGGTCTGCGAAAATATGTTGGAAGGATGAATTCTAAAAAATATGATAAAATTCTGAGCTATTTATTTCTTCGTAATATATTTAGATTATTTTTGAAAGATATTTTGGATATATTGGAAAGAATATATATTTGATAGATTACGATCTTCGATCCCCGAAATATTTGAGATGTTTTGGAAGCTCAATTTGATATTTTGGAAATTCGATTTTGACTCAATTTGGGATTCATGGGTCAATCCGTCGGATCCGGGTCTTTCTTGTCCTGACGCCGCCATGATACGATATCGTGAAGTGTTGTTCGTCGTGTGGGTGGCGCTGGTGGCGATCGGTAATGGCGGCGATGGAGGAGGCGAAAATGATAGGGGGGCGGTCGCGGCAGGTGGCGTATTGAGGCGGGAATGGTCGTGCGTTATATTCAGATAAAGATCAGCAGATCCTCGAGACGATGAATCCATTAGAATTGCGTCGGAATATAATATTCTCTATTGTGTTTGCCGCAGATTGTCGTATCTCCGCCGATAGAATCGACGGATCCTCTCCAATATTGATATATATTTTTTCTAGGTTATTTCTTGAAATCCTAGATTTCTGATGAAATTATATATATTTCTCTTTTCTATATATATTCTATGAAGATTTAAAAGAATATCTATCGTAATATTTTATTCTGGAAAATAGAAATTTAGAAAAAAGATATATAAATAGAAAGAGGCGGAATATACAAAATATTTAAAAAATAAATGATGAAGATGATATCGAAATTTAATAATTCTATAATTATGATAGGAATATAGATCGGTAAATAGATATCATCAAAGAAATTATGATTAGATTTTATATTAATGAATCTGATAATTTGAATAATGAAAAATATATTGATGAATTATTTATAAATCGATAGAATGAGAGATATTTGAATTCGATAGCTCATCAGATCGATAGATTGATAAATAGATATAGATATATATATTCGATATATCGATAATATCTTTGATCAATTGATATATTCTAAGATTATAGATTGATATATCAATTGATCATCTCTTTCAGATCATTTCACGATAATTTAATAAGTTGAAAGAATTTCTGATAAAAATGAATAAATAGATTTTCGAGAATATTAATTCGATAGAATATCAAATTTAAAGTTTCGAGAAAAGATAGATGAATAGATAATTATATTTGAAAATCTGAATCTCGCCCGCCGAATAGCCAAGAACCCAATATCCTACAGAGATAAGGATGCATGATATCGATAATAATTGAGAATCAATTCTGAGAAATTTCTCTCTCGATAAATTCATAATTCCAAAAAATCATCTATTCGAATATTTCTTGATCTTGAATAATCATCGGATAGAATCGGGAAAGATCTCAAGAGAAAAGATTCATTCAAAAAATGATTTCAGAAAAAAAAAATCTATAATATCGTTCATTTATATGAAGCAATGATTAATATATCGTTGGAGAGAAATGAAGATTCATTCTTATGGTAAATATCAAGAATATATGATTTATATTCATTAATTTTATTCGTTAATTATATAATGAATCAAGAATCTTCTCATCTTCTTCATTCATATTCTATAAAGGACAAATAGATCAATTTCAATCTCTAATCCGAAATTTTCGATTATTTGAATGAATTAGAATTGGTCCGCCTCTTCTATCAACGGAAATATCTATTTAAGAAAATCTATAACGAGATTCGTTACTCAAATAATATATAAGATCTCATAGAAAATCCTATGAATTATCAATATATTAAGCTCGATTATGATATGTAGATTCTGAGCCGAACCGCCGCGCAGATAGCTAAAGAGATAGAAATAATTCCAAATCTTAGGAGATCATTAGTCCCACGGTCTTTTGATCGTACGACTTCCGTATCCAATCCGATCTTGCCATCTCATTTATCTCTCTTAGATTATCCGCATAAGAGCTTCGGAGAATGCATATATCTCTATAAATAGATAAAGTCAATCTATAAATTCTGATAATCTTTGGTCAAATATATTCCTCCGAAATAAAGAAAGATAAATTATGTCGAATATCCCGACGAATAATCAATATATAAAACCGCGCCTGATCAAAAATGACCAATCTAATAGATTATGAAAAATTTTTTGATCTCCGTCCCAGATCTTTTTCGAACCATCGCGCAGAGAACCGAAATCTTGAGAGATTTCGGATCGCGTTAGGACCGCAACCAACCCAATCTTTCTATTTCTTTGGTCTCTCTTGAGCTATCTACGCGGCGAATCGGGCGAAAATATCTATCTCTATTAATAAATACGATCGACAAAGCTCGCATAATTTTTAAAAAAATGAGCCTCTAATTTTTCTGATAAATTTGAAAATCTCTAAATTTTTAGTGCCTCTCATAAACTCGCAGAAATCATTTTTAAAATATAAGATCAATGCCGCGCGCGAGCGAAATGACCGCAAAATAATATCAATATAGTCCGAAATAATATAGAAAAAATAATAGATTATCGAATAATTGATATATATAAGAATATCATTAAGATATCATATTTTGAATAGTCTTAAAATTTAGCGAAGAAATAATCTTTCATCATAAAATCATCTCTCTTTATCATTAGTATAATTATTAAATCCTAGATTATCGTAATTCAAATTCAAAATATAAATTATCAATCAATAATGATATCCGAATTCGTGATTATTTGAATGCATCGTGATTAGATTAATTCGCGACGCCATAGCACGATGTCGTATCGTTCCATCGAGGCAACGCCGCCCCGTCATTCTGTTGCCCCGCAACCCGTGATGGTGGGGCGGGATGAGGTAGCAGGACAGCGTAGGTAAGGGGGGGCACCCCGCCACCATGCCAATGCGCCGCCCCGTGCCGCTGCCCGCCTACTTTTCCAAAATGTTGCAGATATTTCGAGGACGTGGATTTCCCGTACTGCTTTTCCAAAATATACCGGAAATTACAGCATAATCCCGGAAATTCTGAAGAACGGTCTCCTGGATATTTTGGAAAAGTGGTCCGGGAGCCGTTTTTTGAAAACTCGTGACAGAAAACGCGCGCAGACGGAAAACGCAGAAAGCACGCAGAGATTTTCAGAGTAATAAATATCAAAATATCGAATTATGATGTTTTCGTCTGGCCGTCATTTCAGCTTCGCCCAGAAGCACAACGTATCCCTTCCTCAGGACTTCAGGGCTTGTCCAGCATGCATGGCTCCACTTAGCACCGGCCGCCTTGCAAATTCAGGCTGCTTGCCAGGAGCGGGCTTGGATGCATCAGGAGCTCTGGACATATGAGCCATAGTCTAAACTCCTGGTATCCCCCTTCATAACCCCTATAGTAGTCCCCTATAGAATCCCCTATATACACCCCTTTTAAGGAGTTTAGACTGTAGCTCATATGTCCAAGTCTCGGAGGCAAAGTGCCTTCAATACATTCTTCTGTACACCAGGCAGCTATCTCCCCAAGCTGCTGTGTAGAAGCTGTGCCATGCTCGTCATCGGAAGCCGGCATCCTGCGATGCGAAGCACTGGTGGGGTAGAGGTAGTTTAGTGCGATCAGCTTGGTCACATGTAAAGAAACGTTGACAGCTGATCTTGCCTTGAACAGCTTTCATTCTTCAGGGGTTGTCATGATTGCGACGTGTGTTGCCAGGTTACGGTATTAGCAGTACAAGCAGTCCTCAAAGAGCGAGGAACGAAGCCTCTTCTTCCTGAAACGAAGCTGGACATGGAACAGGTGAAGGCCACTGCGGTGTGATCTTCTTGGGCAACGCTGATCCAAAAGCGGTACTACTTGTCCTCCCTTCTTGCGATACTACATGCAGCCATGGTCAATACCAGTGGATGAAACTCCAAGTGCTGGGCGATGGAGTGAGGCCAGCAGCATCAGAGAGCTTCTGCTCGCTCGCGCGATGCAGCTGTTGAATGCGAGACCTTCCGAAAAGGCAAGTGTTTTGCGAGTAGAAGCTGCCTTCTTCGCGATGCGGAGCCAAGGACTGCAATTCAGGACATGATGCCACGAGGTGCTACGCGTACGAGCAGCACTGTTCATCTTTGACTTCAGCCAGTCACAAAATTCTGAGCAAGTTTGCAATCTGTGTGCACAGGGGATGAGGAATTAGCTGTAGTCGCGAAGCACATTCTCGATCTTGACGCAAGTTTCGCTCGGCCTTACAAGGGCAAGAGACAGTTGTGATCTGGACACTTCTGCAATTTAGGGTGGATAGCGCCACTAATATTAATAAGAATAATACTAATGCAGTGAAACGAATTATAGTAATAGTAATCGCAATAATTCCAATACTGGTAATAGCAATAGTAGTAATACTGGTACGATACCATACACCCAGGCCTCAGCAACTTGACGGCGAAGATCCTCTGTCTTGGCCTCAAGTCAACCAGACTGCTGACAATCTTTTATGCATACCTTCCTGTTAAGGGGAGTGCAAACACCAACTGGTACAAAAACATTGGGAACAAATCATCTGTGCTGTTTTGAGGGCAACGCATGCTGGGACTTCACAACTGACTCTGCCTGGCATGCCATCGGCTGCGATTTATTGGGAAGTCGAAACCAGGAGAGCAGCTTTCGAGAATCCATGTGCAAGAACAACACACTGTGGACAAGTCCCAACATCCGCGCCTCTGTCAAGCGCTTCCGAATGGTGCGATTTAGCTGGTTCACGTGCGCTATCAACTCCTGAAGCGAGGATGTGGAAGTTCTTGGGCTGCTCTCCAAGATTTTGGTCTATGCGTGTCCTTCTGGACTGTAATCATTATTCTCTTGTTAATTATTAGTACTATAATTACTAGCATTATTACTACAAGTGTTGTAACTACTATTATAGTCCCCCTTAAGTNNTGGCTTTGGGTATATTATAGTAGGATCCCCATGTACCCCATATTCTATCTACTTAAGGGGGACTATATGATTAGATGTCTGCAGCGGGGACAGGGCATCCTAGGTCGCAGAGCACACATCCCGGCAAGTCCTGCTCTTGCGCGATCTCCCGGCCAAATTCCTGTTGATATGACAAGCTGCTAGGGCAGCGGCAGAAATCTAGTGTGATTTTTGCCATTTTTGCGTTTATTATTGCTATTAACTATTCGTACTATGATTAGTATTAGTACTATGATTATTGCTATCATTAGTATTACAATTATTTTTCTATTATTCTTAGATGATCCCACCTCTGCCTTCTGGCCTTCCCACAGCTCCAGCGCCACAGCAGCGGCTTCCTCACCGGAGGGGATAAAGACTTCCCGAAACTGATAGACCCTATTATGAAGTAGTAATTTCCAGTGTCTTTTCCATCATCCCTATTATAATCCCAACCCTAAACCCTAAACCCTATATAACCCCAATGCAGTAGTTTCCATGTTCTTTTCCATTATCCCTATATTACCCCTTGGTTCAGAAACGGCGCAGCCTGGACTTCAAGGGGTGAGGAGGTCACCAGGAGCTCTTGAAGCAACTTCAAGCGCTCCCTGTCAGGAGGAAATAGAAAAATGGCAGGAATAACAATGAGAATAATAGAACTAATAGCTATAATACTAGTAATGATAATACTAATGATAATGTATGCTAAATGATAGTATGGATGCCGGGTGAATTTTCAGAAAGCTCTCGCCTGTCATCAGCTCGGCCCACATGGCGCCGCTTGGCCTCAACATGGCACTTGGCTCAGGCCCCGACCAAGAAGCAGGGGGAATGCTGCTTGGCTAATGCCACCCAGCCCGCGGCGCAGATTCCATCACGGCACACGGGACACTCATCTGAACCTAGGAACCTGGCACAGTCAGAAAGGGCTCACGTGAGCATACCAGTACAATTGGAACCATCTCATCAGCGTTTGCTGGACCAGTGTGTTTTGTGCAAAGCATGGTGTCGTGATGGTTAGCTCAGCATCATGGGTACAGCCTGCGTGATTTTGATTACGCGCCTGAATCACTGAAGAACTGTAGTAGTTAGGACATGATGTACATTCATAGCAAAGTTCAGTGCCTAATTCTGGAAAAATTGCTGTTGTCAGGCTCAGGACATGCTGGGCCCAGAAGGCTTACGCTTATGAAGTAGCTCCATTGAATCATGCCGGCTGGTCCACTCTTGCGCATGCTCCTTGCACAGGAGGTGGCGGCATCGCAGGAAGACGCCCTGACAGTTGCGAAGCCAATAGATCAGGAAAACAGCCCATGACGTGTTCTGGCTGCACAGCCGTGGACCTCCTTGATGACTGCGCCACAAGTCTTCTTGTTCTTGACGGGGAAGTTGCATCGCAATGCTGCAAAGTCTTCCACCTTCGGCAGCGCAACTTTTGACGCTTCAGACTATCCTACCGCAGGTTGCCATGCTTCGAGACACACATGAGCTACAGTCTAAACTCCTAGTATCCCCCTTAATAAGGCCTATAGTAGTCCCCTATAAAATCCCCTATACAATCCCCCTTTAAGGAGTTTAGACTATGGCTCACATGTCTTGCAGATCCCCTGCCTGATCTTCACTCAGACTTGGCTGCTTCATGGCCGGAACCAGATAATTTGCAGCTACAGAACACCTCCCAGTCTGCAAATACACACCCTCAGCTTCCGCCTGACACAGTGTTCCTGTCTATGCCAACCCAAGACATGAAGGGACAGGTGCTCCGAGCGCTCACTGCTGGAAAGCGGAAACGCGGCGAGTGGATAGGCGAACAGCAAGGGAAGAGCGTTTCACTTCTGACGCCTTGCAGCAAATGATCAGAATTGGCAGGTTGCCTTTTTCTGCGCCGTTGCAGCCTTTTCAATCTCCTTTGTGCCGGTGCCTCATTGTGCTCCGACATGAAGCGTTCAACGCTCCCAATCCATACGTCTTTAAATCATATGCGAAGCTGCACTAGCCTTCTTCCCAAACCCTTGGCGAACGGAAGTCAAGTCTTCATGCGAGGCTAGAACGAAGGCCAGATCTCACGAGGAAGAATTCCAAGTGCGGACAATACATTTGCTTCTCACCCGCTTCTTTCCAGAGAAGCTTTAAATTTGCGCAATGCAGCTGCTAGCTGTAACGAACAGCGCTCAATAATCGTATGGCCTTCCTTGCTTCCTGGGGCATGCAACCACCGCCAGCCTTAACCAACTGGTTTCACAAACAAAGCTTTAACCAGCATACAGAAACGGAGAGATGTGCCACCTGTCTGACCAGGAGATAAAGACCAATGAAAGCATTCAAAATGAGGCCTCTATCTCCCATGGCACAGGAAGCTCAGCATTGCAGGTGCCCACAAATACCCCAGCGCTACAGACATGCCTTGTCGCAAGGAAGTCCAGAAAGCAACACCTAGATAATTCGCAGGTTTGAAATACATGCTTATTGGCTGCTTCTCCGTATGATGCTGCAAGAGGAAACTACGCCATTGGCTGAAGGGAGAGGATCCCAGGCAAGCCAGAAAGACGGCAGCAACGACTACTTTCGGATCCAACGCATGGGCACTATTCAAGGACATGGCATAGGGTGTCACATAGCTTCTGATGAGTCCGTAGGCCACGTCGCGAAGAAGAGTGGGCAAGTAGGCCTCGTAGAGCTTGCCCCACCGGACAGGAAGTTTCATAGACCACCGGTACAAGAAGTTTGACATGGGGAGGGTCACCGTGGCGAAAATGGCTCCGGCCAGCATGCCCCCAAAAAGTGGGGAGGCAGCTTGAGCCGTGAGGCTAGCAAAAAGCACCTCAAAGAAGGGAAACTTCAGCAGGTTTGCTATGAGTGCCGCCCGGAAGGACAACAGCACCACCTTTGGGTTCACCTCGTGCGAGTTTTTGAACACGACTTCCGTTTCCGTCAACGTAGCCTCCAGGGACAGTGCGTTTTAAGCACCAAGCACTATGCAAATTATGTGCGGTGCATCGGCTGAGCTAATGTATGCAGAAGTATTGTACCTCAACATGCTGACACTAGCATAACCAAGACGGATGCAGGCAATAGCATTCACCTAGCCCACACATTCGGCCACAGACCTGGACCGTCGCAGAAACCATCCTCAGCGCAACAGGCGCAGACGGGCGTCTAAAACCAAGCTTTGCTTTGGATTTGGCAGCGGCAAAAGAGGCAACAGCGAGCGGAAAACCATTTTTTGGCACGTAGACAATGCACCACAGACTCCACTTGCAAGTATCAAAATCTCTGCCCAAGCGTCCCTGCACCCACGTAGGTCATCATGCTTCGGAGCACACTCTTTGGCAGCTCTGGCTCCTCTGTGCAGCAAGCTGCAGGATTCATCATCTGGAAGCTTCTACATATGGGGCTCCCCTTTGGCACCGTAAGCATGATTGTGGGGGTAATACGGGTACTATAATGGAGAATCAAATGGAAAAGAAAATGGAAAATGAAATGGAAACTGGGTTTATATAGAGGATTATAGGGATTAGGGTTTCCCAAACTGGTCATATTGCATAATCCTTTGTAAACGACAAGAATGAAACACCGCTTTGTTGGAACTCAGCATCTAGCCATGATGGTCAGACATGGCCAATGCTCAAGCATGGCGATGTGAGATAGTGACCAATGAGATCCCTCATTGTTCGCAACGCTTGGAGTCTTGTTGATGATATGGTAGTTTCCCAAAACAGGGGGACCCCAATATAGACCCCAATATACTATAGTCCTTATTATAGGGACCCCCAAAAAGGTACCCTTAATTTTGGGAAACCCTCATATCTTTCCTCTAGATTAAACCGCACCTATTGCTGTTGCTGGCAAAAGCCTCTCTACACGCAACACAGCAGACATTGCAGACTGCATCGCAATGCAACATGTAGGCTGAGTCCTTAAGGCCATTGAAAGGAGCTTGGGCGCGGCCAGCGAAAGGCGGCGCTTGTGACCACTCAGCTTGCATCTGCGGCCGCGATACTGAGGAAGCCTTAGTTGAGTTCAAAGCCTCGTGGCCGACACTGCGGCTACCCAATTTTGAATCGCTCTTACACACACATTCTCACAATGCTATGGGCAAATGTTGGAGGCGAGCAGCTGTAAACGTGTGCAAGTTCATTCTCACATTTTCCAGCAGCTGCAAAGCAACGATGCAGCCTGTCCATGCCAAGCAATTCAAGAGCCATCTCCGGCGTCCAGTGGCCATTATGGCTCTCAAGCTCAAGGCATCAAGTCTAGCCACAGACAAGCGATCAATCTCCTGAGAAGAGTGGCTGCGAAGAAAGCCCTTGGCCATACCCAGCTTCTCACATACTAGATCCTCAAGAAATACGGGTCTCGTCAGCAGAAACATGCAGAAGGCATCCTGGATCCTAAGCCTGCTTGGGCTTGATTGCGGAACCTGCAAGGAACCCTTGCATCATGAAGACCTGAACATGTCAAAGAAGAGCAACTAAACACTGGAGGTACGGAAAACACCCAGCTGGTTGGAGATTCAAGGAGAGATGCGTAGCCAAGAACATCACAATGCCTTGGACAGGTAAGAGACCAAACGTTCAGAGGATACTGATCAACATCTCGCCGCCTCCAGACTTTGGCTGTTTGGTACCTCCTCAAGACATTTTTGGGTAATATTAGGGTTCTATGGGGGCTATATAGGAATAATGGAAAACAAAATGGAAACTACTATAGTATAGTAGGGTATATCTTAGGGAGCCCGGCAGTGTATGCCACAACTTCAAAAAGGAGGTTTTGAGGTGAACGGTGCCCTGACAGCAGCGAATTGCTTCTGAGAAAGCTGCTTCTGTTACAGCTTACAGTATTCCATGGATGCTAAAATGGAAGCTACTATTTAGGGTTTAGGGGTTTAGGGTTTAGGGGTTTAGGGTGCGCAATCTCTTGTAGTCCTTCCGTTGTGTGGAAGTGTTAAACTCAAGGTGGGCTGAAGTAAACGGACAGGCATTGTCAACACACTCGAACTGGTTGCTGGAGCAACACTGGGATTTCTGTGACAAACCCACATATGACCAGCCCTCTCAAAAGTCTCTCTCTGATTTTCCCTCAGAGCGAACGGCAGCATCAGCTGACTGGGCAGCTATGCATCCAACTCACAGGCAATCAAGCAAGGAGAAAGGCCAACCAATGTGGTCAGGGTCAGGCTGCTGCAGGGCGACAAGACATCACCGGAGCCAGTGAGCCTCACGAAGCTTGGGTCCTGCCCGGCTGCGCCTTCTGATTCCCAAGCCTCCCTTTCCCTTGCAAGCTGCTAGAGCCCGCTCTGTGGCACTTGAAGCTATTTTCAGCCGCTCAAAGGCGATGTCCGCTGTGGTAGATGCCGCAACCTTTGGCTTTCTTTGTAGGGTAGCTGTGAACTTCTCCCGGGGCTTGTAGAGCGCCTCGGTGAGGCGCCGTTTTCGCCTGCGGTCCCAATGGGAAGGCCTTGCTTCCGCATTGAAACTGTCTGGCGGCGGCACGCAACCTGACCGAGAGCTGTCGGAATCCTGACTGCTCAGCAGGCCAAAGCAAGCGTTGCGGAAAGACTGCCATCCTTGGCTTCGAGCCAGCAGGAGCTGCTTCCGCAAGGTCAAAACATCCACCAAGGGAAGCACAGGCGAAGACAATTGCGTGGATCCCAACAATCTCTGCGCGCGCATGCTGAGAAAGCTTCGTATTCCAAACTTCTGCAAGAAGTGGTTGAGCTCAGGTCCACTGCTCTGAAGTCCAAGGCCAGAGCACAAATTGGTACTCACGACAGCCTCCCGTTCGAGTATAGCAAAAGCAGCTTCGAATGCCTCAAACAACTCAGAGATGCTGTCACTAGAGGTCCCTCTCTGCGCGTTTACCATCACCAGCTGCCTCAATCTCACCAAGAGGATGTGGTATTCCACAGCCACCGACCCAATTGTAAAGCAGCTGTAGAATCTAATATGTGCAAAGCTGATCTTAGCCTGGGTTGCTGTTAAGGAACTTAAATTAAGTTACCATAATGGGAATATGTAGTAAATAATAGGGTTTCCCCAATATAGTAACTTACATATTAAGCTCCTTAAATCCCTATATT